CAGTTACAAAAGCATGATACTCATTCAGTTGAACTAGACTAAAAAACATATACAAATAGAATGGAAATATACATTGAAATTCATATAACTGCCTATTAGCAGTTACTGAAATAAATATGCAAAGATTTCATATATCTAACTGTCTAGCAAAGAGATGCGTCAAATGCAAACAAAATTTGTTTCAATGATGTATTTTAATTTTTTTACCAAGCGTTAGGAATCACTTTTTTTCCAGAAAAAGAGATAAGTAAATATTAATTCAAAATAATAAACCCCACTTTATTTAAATAGAAGTTTTTTGAATGCAAAAATCGTCTCTAGAATTCATCCAAGAGAAGAAATAATTCTTGCCATTCTGCCTTCTTAAAGATTTTGAACTTACAGCTTCTAGAAAAATGTCTAGCCACCAAGAACAGGAAAACCCATCTGATCAACACATGGCTTAAAGTCTGGTGCCATCCCTGGAATTTTGTCTTTTTCGATCCTAGTGCTGTTTACATGGCACCAGGCCTGCTAGAGACAAATGAGTTCACCTGTTCTAAGAGGGAAAATGATTCTAGCCCATGAGTTGTCAGGGCTGTCAGTTGAGTGGGCTTTGAACTAGATTTGGAGGGGTAAGAGGATAAGACCAGAAATGAGCCTGGGAGTTGCATGCCAATGTTGGGGGTGAAATCAATAGCCCAGCTGAAGTGCATCTATACCAGTGCACACAATATGGGGGAAAAAAAGGAGGAGGTGGAAGCTATTGTGCAGTAGGAAAGCTATCAAGTAGTTGCCATCATGGAAACTATTTGAGATGACTTGCATAACTGGAGTGCTGCAATGGATGGTTATAAGCTCTTCAAAAGGGACAAGTGAGGAAAGAGAGGCATTGGGATGGCTCTGTACACTAGGGAGTGTTTTAACAGTGCAGAGCTCAATAACAGTGACAATAAGGTAAGAATCAGGGTGAAGGCTAACAAGACCAACATCCTGGTGGGAGTCTGTTATAGATCACCCAACCAGGATGAAGAGGCAGATGAAGTATTCTTTAAATGGCTTGCTGACATTTCATAAAGTGGAAACTCAACACAGCAGAGAGGAGGCAGTCTAGAAGGTTCCTGGATGCAGACCTCCTGGTGTGGAGGATAACTTCCTGTAGCAGCTGGTGAGTGAACCCACCAGGGGTGGTGCTAGACCTGCTGTTTACAAACAGAGAAGGGTTGATGGGAGATGTGGTGTCTAGAGGCCGTCTTGGGTACAGTGACCATGAAATGATAGAGTTTTCAATTCTTGGTGAAGTAAGGAAGGGGGTCAACAAAACCTTTACCTTGGACTTCTAGAGGACGTACTTTGGCCTGTTCAGAACACTAGTTTAGAGTCCTTTCAGAAGTAGTCCTTAAAAACAAAGGGGTCCAGGAATGATGGAGATACCCTGAGAATGAATTCTTAAAGGTGCAGGAGCAGGACATCCATATGTGCCAAAAGACAAGCTGGTGGGGAAGAAGACCAGCTTTGCTGAATAGGGAACTTTCACTGGAACTTGGGCAAAAAAAGTTAATGACCTTTCCATGAAGAGGGCAGGCAATTTAGGAAGAATAAAAGAGTGTCATTAGGTTATGTAGAGAGAAAATTGGAAGGACGAAAGCTTATGTAGAACTCAATCTGGCCACCACTGTGAAAGACAATAAAAAGAGTTTTTATAAATACCTTAATGAGAAAAAAAAAAAAAAAAAAAAAAAAAAAAAAAAAAAAAAAAAAAAAAAAAAAAAAAAAAAAAAAAAAAAAAAAAAAAAAAAAAAAAAAAAAAAAAAAAAAAAAAAAAAAAAAAAAAAAAAAAAAAAAAAAAAAAAAAAAAAAAAAAAAAACAGGCCATGGAAAATTTCCATCCTTTACTTGATGCAGAAGGGAACATTTTAACCAAGGATGAAGAAATGGCTGAGGTATTCATGCCTTCTTTGCCACAGTCTTCAACAGAAAGACCATTTATCCTCTGGGCAACCTGATGTGGTAGACAGGGGTGGGGAGCAGAATAGACCCACTGTAATCCAGGAGGAAGTAGTGAGTTATTGCGTCACTTAGGCACTGACAGGTCTGGGACTAGACGTGATTCACCTGAGGGTACTGAGGGAGCTGACATAAGAGCCTGCCATGTCATTCTTCAACATTTATCATCACTCCTGGTTAACCAGGGAGGTCCCAGACAACTGGAGGTTAGCCAGAGTCACACCCAACTACAAGAAGTGTTGGAAGAAGTATTCAGGGAACTATAGGTCTGTTCTGCTGCTGGGCAAAGTTATGGAACAGATCACCTTGAGTGCCATCACACAGCATATACAGGACAACCAGGGGATCAGGACCACCCAGCATGGGTTTAGGAAAAGCAGGTCCTGCTTCACCTACCTGATCTCCTTTTATGATAAAATGACCTGCCTAGTAGACTAAGGAAAGGCTGTGGAGGTTATTTACCTGGACTTCAGTAAAACTTTTGATACTGTTTCCCACAACATTCTCCTGGAGAAGCTGGCAGCCCACAGCTTGGACAGGAGCACTCTTTGTTGAGTTGAAAAATGGCTGGATGGCTGGGCCCAGAGTGGTGGTGAAAGGAGTTACATCCAATTGGCAGCTGATCACTAGCAGCATTCCCCAGAGATCAGTGTCGGGGACAGTCCTGTTTAATTTATTTTGGATGAGGAAGCTGAGTGCACTCTCAGTCAGTTTATAGATGAAATTAAGCTGAGCAGGAGTGTTGATCTGCTGGAGTGCAGGAAGGCTCTACAGGTGGATCTCCACAGACTGGATTGATGGCCTGAGGTTAGCTGTATGATGTTTAATAAGGCAAAGTGCCAAGTTTTGACCTTGGCTCACAATATCCCCATGCATCACTACAGGCTCGGTGCAGAGTGGCTGGAAAGTGGTCCAGTGGAAAAGGACCCAGGGGTGCTGGTCAACAGCCATCTAAACATGAGCCAACAGTGTGACCAGGTGGCCAAAAAGGCCAATGGCATTGTGGCCTGTGTCAGAAACACTGTGGTCGGCAGATCTGGGGCAGTGATTATCCCCCTATAGTTGGCATTGGTGAGCTTACAGCTCTAGTACTGTGTCCAGTTCTGGGCCTCTCACTTCAGGAAAGACATTGAAGCACTAGAGCAAGTTCAGAGAAGGGCAACAAAAGGTGATGAAGGGTCTGGAGAGTAAGTCCTGTGAGGAATGGCTGAGGAAGCTGGAGTTATTTAGCCTGGAGAAAAGGAGGCTCAGGGTAGACTTTATTGGCCTCTTCAGCTACTTGAAAGGAGGTTGTGGCCGGGTATCTGTCTCATCTCCCAGGCAACTAGAGACAGGACAAGAGGACATGGCCTCAAGTGCCAGGAGAGGTTCAGGATGGACATCGGGAATAATTTTTTCACTGAAAGGCTGGTCCAGCATTGGAATGGGCTGCCCAGGGACGTGGTAGCTACCCTTCCTGAAAGTGGTCAAGAAACAACTGGATAGGGCCTTTATTGCTATAGATTAGTTGATATGGTGGTGTTGGGTCAAAAGTTGGACTCAATGATCTGGAGATCTTTTCCAATTTTAATGATGCTATGCTTCTATTCTATGATCCTATAAGTCTAGAAGGACAGACAGACACGAAAAAATTGAACTTTAATTTTATCCCACTGAAGTATAAACATGCTTCCACTTCTCTAAATTACTTGTCTTCATTTAAATATACCACCAGACAAACACTATTCTTGAAAATAAAACAAACCATCCTTGGGTTGTGGCATTCTGGAGATTCTTTTTCTTAAGAACATGGAGAGGAGTCAGGGTCATGAGTCCTAGGTTTAAAGTAGAGATAAGCATTTCCTCACTACATACAAATGGATTACCTGCTCCCAAAAAAACCTCTTGTCTACCTAAAGATAATAGGATAACATTGAAAATGATTATGTTGTTTGTGAATGTTGTATTAAAGTTTTATTTTTGAAAGCATAAAAGAGCTTAGGATCTTCCATATTTTTTTTCTACACTGAAAATTAAATTTTTAAATCTTTGAGGTACAGATTCATAAAAAGAACTACAAATTTAAACTCAAAATCTTCAGTTCTGGAAAAACATGGATCCTCTACTGCATAGCCCCAAAAGCAGCTAAACATCATCACTGCTGTCTTAGGGGTTTTTGTATTAAATGACTGTTTTAATCTATAAAAAACCCCTCCTCAGAACCAAAAAAGAAAATTAGATTGTAGGCCTGCTGTGTATATGCAATTATGAACAGAGAATATATATGTTATTATACGTTGTTAATTAAAGGATTTATGATCGGTTACTCTCTCTGCCATCATCTTCCTATGTGGCCTTTCCTAAACCAATTAATCTCACTGAACCTTAGTTAAATTATAGGATGCATGTTTCACAAAGTTTCAGTGAACTTAAATACATTACAGATTTGGAGGTCGTTAGATAAGATTAGGCAAGTAATTTATATACAAAAAGAAGGAAAGAGCCCTTGCTTTTAGTATGATGAGCTCCTGTTGGGAC